CATAGGCATCTTTGGTAAAAAGCACAAATGCAGTAAATCCAAGATACCAAAGTAACTCTTTTTACCTCACTATTTTTAATAAGTAACAGATTACAATGGCTTGTGGGTAACTGACACTAACTAAACTAATAACTAAATTAAATAAATTAAATAACTAAATTATTTACACAAGTGTGATAAAGTGGACTAGGCCCTGAGACCACCTTCTGGAGGCCTTGTGGTCCTGCCAGACCCTGCCCCAGAAAAGGGAAGTGGAGAGAGAGTCCTCCAAGCAGCCTAGAGCAGTGGCATGGGACACAGGTGCCAGAAGCAGCCAATCCAGGCCCAGCAGACCCATTTAAAAGGAGTTGCAGTGCAGAGCAGAGATCAGTTCCTTGATGACAGAGCATGGATAGTGTGCCTGGCTGGCTGAGGGAGCTACAGGACCTCGGACAGAGAAGTTCTGGCAAACACAAAGGAGCTCCGGATTGGCTGCTGGGACTCAACCAGGACAAGGCCCAGAGATAAGGGCGAGGAATTAGCTGTGTCCATGGAGAAGTGGCCCAGAGAATTGTAGCAGCAATGCAGTTTAACTAAAGGGATGCAGTGGATGGCTGCTATCTAGGCAGTCCCTGGGCTGGGACCTGGAGTAGAGGGTGTGCCTGAGTCTCTTTCCCCCTCCCCCTGCAGCCACTGGGAAAGTGACCTGGACTTTGATGCACCGCAGAAGAGGAACTGAACTCTTAGTAGCCCAGCAGAAGAGTTGGAGCCAGAAAGGCCCAGAGAGGCAAAGAGCGTCTAGGGAGGGAACCCTGGTGGATGTGATGGCCGGGACTGCTTGAAGAGCAGGGACAATTTGAGAGTGCCCAGAAGGGGCTGAGAGACAGTTTGAACCAGGATACTGTAATATGCCCTGTTGGACTGATTGAGGATCTAGCCCAGGAACATGGCTGCAGATAAAACAGATGTTAGAGAGCACTGAGATAGGCCCCCTGTTGGACTTATATCGCAGAAGGGGTTTGATTTTTATTTCACATAGAGACTCTGTGGGACTCAGCCAGAGGGTGAGTCACTGAAGACTCATCAGAGAGAGTGCGAGCGAGCGTGTGTGTGTGTAGGCACACACAGACAGGGGATGCTCATGAGAGGTGAGTGCGAGCCCATTACAAGAAGTTGCGGACAAAGGAATTGGAAACAGTTTCCAACACTATGAAGCAATATTTGGACACAGCCGTTTAACTGATAAGCAAGTTTTGGGATGAAAAAATTTAAATTAGAATGCAAATATTGAGGTGATTGAGTATTTGTTGATTTTGAATCATTTTAAAAATTTACCAGAAACTGTGCAATCTTAAAGTTACTGTACCTCTCACTTTAAGTGTCTGGATACAAATGAAAATGAAAATATAGTCCAAAACCTGCACAGAGTAAAGACTCCACTTTAAAGAACCCTGATATTCCAAGCCTTTTCTTTCTGTAGTAATCCATGAACACTTTGTCTAGGTCTACTTATGTCTATCATGATAGACAATTTCATATGGAACGAAAACACAGCTCTTTCCCTACTACCCGTCCGAGGATAAAATGGCTACAAAGTAAACTGTATCCCATAATTTATGCACGAGCAGTTCTATTTCCTTTAGTGATAGTATAGGTCAGGGATCGGCAACCTTTGGCACGCAGCCCACCAGGGTAAGCCCCCTGGCGGGCCGGGCCTGTTTGTTTACCTGCCGTGTCCACAGGTTTGGCCGATCACGGCTCCCACTGGCCGCGCTTCGCCGCCGAACCTACGGACAAGGCAGGTAAACAAACCGGCCTGGCCCACCAAAGGGCTTACCCTGGCGAGCCGCATGCCAAAGGTTGCCGATCCCTGCACTAGTGCAAAATAATCCTCGAAAACAAAGTTACAGTAGTAATTTGTACATAAACTATTTAAATGTATTGCAAATACTGTATTAACCCTTTTGATAACATATATAACCCAAGGCCATAGGAAGTGCTTCTGTGTCAATGTAGCAAAATAAGAATAAAATTGTTAAAAACATACACACAGAACTCAAGCTTTTTGTATGACTGAATGTTGTACTTTTATTCCCACTACAAATTGGTCAGTTTAGTACCAAGCTTCAAAGAGGTTCTGAAGTAACAAACCGTGGGCCTGATTGTACAGGTCCTCCATGCACAGCCTCCTATGGAAGAAGTTGGTTTATGCTCCATGAGCTTGCAAGATAAAGCACCTGAGTTGTTCATGTGTACCATTTTAATAGGAGTATTATAGCTCCAAAAAAAAAAAAACTGTGTTAATCTGAAAAGTTGTTTACATTAATAAACCAATAAAAATAAGAACTATACATTAAAAGCAGCACTATTTAAGTCCATCTGCATAAGCCAACTCTGATCATGCGTATCTCTACGACATGACTACACTCAGTTGTCCCCTACCCTGGTTACAACACAGTTTACCCCCCTCTACCCAAAATGTATGGGAGCACTGTTAGTCTATTATAGTAGTCAGAACCTAAAACTTCAGATTTAACACAGTTACAGGGACACTACTAGGCTTCCTTTCCACAAACTTCCAACCGTATTGAATCTGGGTCCTCCACCTCTGTTATAGTTGTAGTGTAGATGGGACGTTATATTTAGTCTACAAAGCTTTAAAAATACAACCAAATACAGAAACACCTTTTAGTTAAATTAAAAAACTGTCACAAGGTTGTGTATAAATCATGCTATTAATTAAGAGCTATGAACAGATCAACCAAAAATTCTTCCGACCATATTTGTTCAAAAGCCAAAAACGGCAAGTACTTTTCATTTTTTATTTTATTAGAAAGTTAATTATATGCTAGTACTGCAATCTTCAATACATATGCCCTTTACTGAAAGCCTACTAGCATCAAATATGACAAAAGTCCACAAAATGTAAATGATTTCTTTTACATTGCATTGATCAAATCGTTAAAATATAGAGATCCATAAAAACAATCAGAATTGCGCACACATAACACTATCCTGGCATACTTAATCTAACAATTGGAGAAAACTCAACCCAAGCATTCCATATATCTTATATTTTTATAGTAACTCACTGAGAGTTTGAAACGTAAGTGTTATAAAGTTGCTCATGAAAACTAGGCAACTGGGATTTTCTTTTAAAAAAAAGAAATTAAGCATTTTAAACATGTTCACAAAGTCCATTTATACAAAATTTGGGTCCTGTTAACCTTGAATATACTTTCACCAATAACATGTCTTCCACTCTAGTGATAGGAGTATGTAAAATACCATCTTTTGAAGGTTTCAGAGTAACAGCCGTGTTAGTCTGTATTCGCAAAAAGAAAAGGAGTACTTGTGGCACCTTAGAGACTAACCAATTTATTTGAGCATAAGCTTTCGTGAGCTACAGCTCACTTCATCGGATGCATACTGTGGAAAGTGTAGAAGATCTTTTATACACACAAAGCATGAAAAAATACCTCCCCCCACCCCACTCTCCTGCTGGCAATAGCTTATCTAAATGTGTATGATAATCAAGTTGGGCCATTTCCAGCACAAATCCAGGTTTTCTCACCACCACCACCACCCCCCCGCCGCCCCCACACACACACAAACTAGCAGATTTGTGCTGGAAATGGCCCAACTTGATTATCATACACATTTAGATAAGCTATTGCCAGCAGGAGAGTGGGGTGCGGGGAGGTATTTTTTCATGCTTTGTGTGTATAAAAGATCTTCATCGGATGCATACTGTGGAAAGTGTAGAAGTGAGCTGTAGCTCACGAAAGCTTATGCTCAAATAAATTGGTTAGTCTCTAAGGTGCCACAAGTACTCCTTTTCTTTTTGCATCTTTTGAAGGAGACAGACTTTTTTTTTTTTAAATCACAAGAACATACCAACACAATATACTTTAAAAGTTCTGTAATCTGGACACAGATTCTTGTGTCTTAAAATTGACAAAGAAAATACTGTCCAGAACAAACCTTGCTTTTGCTTATTTGTGAGCATGTGCATCTTCATCAGTATTTTACTTTTATAATAACTGAGTGAGGTAGTCCTGTCCCTTGATTTCAAATGTCCCACCAGCCTGGACAAACTTAACAGTAACCATCTTAATTTTCTCACACTAGAAGTGTTCTGAAAAAAAGTCTTGTTAACAAAATATATGTTTAACATATGCAACATTTTGAGCTCTTTACTGGACTAGTTTTTCCTGTTTTCCTTCATTTGGATGGTTTCTTCCAAATGTAATCCTTGACATTTGGAAAGTACAATGGTTAATGAAGAAAGGTTAGCTTTGTACAGTAAGCCAGTTCTTTGCATACTGTAAATGTGATAAATCACTCACTCTCTGATGTGCTGGAAGGGGACAAATCTTTGAATAAAAATGGATGCAAGGAAATTCAAATTCCAGTTCTGTTGACTATATGCCAAAGCAGAAAAGCGTAGCACAATTTAAGGCAAGATTTCCAAGAGAATGTGTCAGTTGTGTTAAAACCCTTTAATATGGGAAAGTGCTACAGTTAAGGCTGATATGTTGGTGATTATGTTATGTATAAAGCCAATCTCCCTCTTAGCTGAGCTTCATAATCCTGAACTCCTGACAAATAAACCAACCTCAATAAGTCTTATTATTTCTATTACACCTAGCACCTGGTGACACAGCCAAGGTCAGGTCCCCACTGTGGTAGGCTCTGTGCAAACATCAAATAAGAGATTATCCATTATTAAAAAGAAGCCTGAGCAGGGAACCTGTAGGCTAGTCTCTCTCCTTGGAAGATTTTGAGAAAAGGAATATGTTACAGTGTGACATGTACAATTTCCCTAAGGACTTAAAAATCTCACTTTGTACCAGACCAAGAGCCCTGATTGAACAGCAATTATTCACAGTCCAGACATTATCAAAGGCAGGTACCCCTTCATGGAAGGGATAACAGGAGTCTCAGTGGAGGAAAACAAGTTATCACAAAATATGAGTAAAGGGACCCATGGCAGAAGGGGCATGGGCCCTGGTGTTTACCTGGCGGTGTTAAGCAGGGGGTGCTTGGTCCCAACCAGCTTGCGGACCTGCATGGCGATGTTGCTCAGCTCGTCGCTTAGCAGACAGCGGAGGCTCATGAACGAGGTCGGATACCCCACGATCTTCTCGGCCTCGGACACGACTTTACTCCAGTGAGACGCAGCAGAGGGAGAACCCGAGAACAGGCCCCTTCGCCACCGCACACCGCCGCCTCCTCCTCCCCGACCAGACCAGAGTCCGGGGGGCGGCGGCCGCAGCAGCAGCAGCCGGGAGCAGCAGCCCCCTAAACGCAACAGTAGCAGGGGACACATTCTCCCAGCCCCTTAATAGTCCGTCCCGCCCGCTCCTCGCCTCGCCGCGCCCAGCCTGGCTGCGCTAAGGCTACCCAGGCCCCCCGGTCTCCTGCCGCAGCCCCTCAGTGCCCCCGTGCCCGACTGTACCCTAACTACTGTCGCCGCCGCCAACAGGCTCCTCTCCAGGGGCGGCCGGATACGAAGCCACCCCCTGTGTCCAGCCCTTCTCCCCGCGCAGTGCCTGGCCCCCGGACCCTCAACTCCTGCGAGCCGGGTCCCCTGCTCCCTGCCCGGGCAGCGACCAACCCCACTTCCCACAGGGACGATGCTGATGCTGATCTGCTACCGCCGCTCCCCGCGGCAGATGCGCGCTCTGCCTCCACCTCCGGCAGCCCGGGCTACTTGTGGCATGGGGGCAGCCATATTAGATGTCGCAAAACACGAGTCGTAAAGCAACGACGACCATGGAATTAGAACCCTCCCCGTTTCCTCACTTTCCGTCTTCAACTGGGGGCCGGGGGCACGGGCGGGATTCCAATCCACCTGCCCTCTCTCCGCTGCTTCCCGAATGGGGGAGGGTGCAGGAGGAAACACCCAGGGCAGCCCCTCCCCTGGGAGAGCCCGTCACACTCCCAGTGACATCCCCTCCAGCCCCTGCCCAGAGAGCCCATCACACCTCTAGTGACACACCCACTCCAGTTCCTTCCCAGAGAGCCGGGGACACACACAGTGACACCCCCTCCAGTTCCTCCCCAGAGAGCCCATCACTCCTCTAGTGACACCCGCTCCAGTCTGTCCCCAGAGAGTCAGTCTCACACACAGGGAAACCCCATCCAGTCCCTCCTGTCCTACATTGTGGCACAGTAAAAATGTTTTCCTCTTCCCGCTCTCCTACACATTACAATCGCCTGTGCTAAATTAATATTAAGGTTGCAAAGTCAAGCATCGCAATGTTAGGAAATGGTCAGGGATAAGTTTGGCTAGGGAACTTTAATCCAGTCTCCTTGTGCATATGCATTGTGATACAGTCTTTAATTACATGACCATATATTATTTTCTCCACAGGACCCCTGCCCAAGTGCACATGATGGATGGTGCTCACTGAACAATATTCAGTATTTTGCTTTGTCTTTGTTGTTCAATGTGTGGCCTCCTGTGTTATTTACTACATGCTATTCCAACTCTGTACATGGGCTTTTCTATGACACTCATTGCTGTAGCATCAGAGTTTTGAATACATAAATGCATTTTTTCACAATCCCTCTGTGAATTGAGGTGGTATTATTATTCTGAACTGAGGCACAGAGCCATAAATGTCAAAGTACCAACTAATTTTGGGTGCCCAGTTGAATGTGCCTTTGGAGGGCTTTTTTCAGATTATTTTATAGCACTTAGTTCAGAACACAGCTATTATTGACTTCATTTGCAGTTGTGAGTGTTCAGCATTTCTGAAAGTTAGATCCAAACTTGAGCATGCAGAAAACCAGGAACACATAGTTAGTGGCCACCTGTGAGAAATTTGGTTTAAGTGACTTCCCCAATATCTCATAGGACCTCTGAAGCAGAGGTAGGGGTAGAATCCACTTCTCCAGGATAGCATTCAACTGCCACAATTACTCAATCTTTTCTCTTCCCGTAGTCCCCTTCCTCATTCATTTCACACCTCCCAAGCAGAGGAGGTAAAATGTGGGGAAAGTCCATGCTGCGCTCTTCTGCTGTCACTTACATTCCAGGGGCCAGCTGGAGGAGGGACACCATGACAGAACAGTTGGAGTGGGAGGCTTAGAAGCTGTAGAGACTCCTGACTCCTTGTCCTGGGGATCATTCCATCTACAGAGAGAGTCAGGAGAAGCAGGGTAAGCTCCAGGCCCTTGACAACCATCGACCCAAGGTGCCTTTGTTCAATCATGCATCCAGCTCCTTCAGGAGATGGATCATGGCTCCTGCTTCTTCTATGCCCTGGAACAAAAGAGGGGGGGACAAAAAGCATATCACCTGCCTCCTGGTAAAGGACGGCACCCCTCTCACAAATCCATTGGAGATGTGGGAAAGGGCTAGGCCTCTTTTATGCTAGCCTTTTCTCCCCAGATTTAAATGATGCCATCACCTGTGGTGTCCCAGGGGACAAATTCCCTATGGTCAGTGCGGGTGACCGGGACCAGTTAGAGGAACTTCTCACTCTGGCTGAGTTCTCAGAAGCCTTCTGTCTGATGCCCACCAACAAATCTACAGGCATCAACAAGCTGACCATGGAGTTCTACTGCGTATTCTGGGACGTCCTTGGCTCAGACATCACCACCACTTGTGCCAAGTTCTTGGGCATCTGGGTGCTCACCCTTCTGTGCAGACAGACCCTGCTGCCTAAGAAGGGGGACCCCCATGACTTCAGGAATTGGTTCCCAGTTTTGCTCCTCAGCGTGAACTACAAGGTTGTCACAAAAGCTATCTCAGTGCAGCTGGGGTCTGTGCTGGTAGATGTGATCCTCCTGACCAGACATATGCTGTCCCAGACCAGACCATCTTCAACAACCTCTATCTGGTCCAGGACCTATTCCATCTTATGTGTAGGGATGGTCTGTTGTTCTCCCTCCTGTCCCTGGACATGGAGAAGGCATATGACATGATGGATCACAGGTGGTCACTGTGTGAGCATTCGACTTCAGAACCCGCTTCAAGGGGTTTCTCCAGCTGCTATACACCTCTGAAGAGTGTCTGGTCATGGTCAACTAGGTGTTGACCAAACCCATCACCTTCCATCAATGGGTGTGCCAGGGCTGCCAGCTGTCCGGTCAGCTCTATACCATTTCTATTGATCCCTTCTTCCATTTCCCCGATAAGAGGATGACGGGGTTGGTGCTTTGGGAGCCAGACTTGTGAGTGGTCCTGTTGGCATGTGCCAACAATGTGCTTCTTATGGCCCAGGACCCGGGAGCCCTGGCGCAGGTGGAGGCTTGCCAAGACATCCATTCAGCAACCTCCTCTGCCTTGGTGAACTTGGTCAAGAGCTCTGGCCTGATGAACAGGGACATGTGTCAGGCAGGCTCCCTCCCAGCCCTGGTTTGTATCATCCAGTGCGGCATGGGTCCACTGCTCTGTCTGGGCATCTATCTTTCTGCCATCGATCTCTTCCCACTGGAGAACTGGAGCAATCTAGAGGCCAGGGTATCTGACCAGTTGCGGAGGTGGATGGGGCTACTCCAGTGTCTTTCCCTACCAGAGTGGGAACTGGTGCTCCACCATCTGGTCCTGTCCATATGCTCTGGCATCAGTTCAACACCCTTCCCCTACCCCCAGGAACCCTGGCCAGCCATGGGAAGAAAATCCTGGCATTTTTCTGGATGGAACTGCATTGGGTCTCTTTGGGTGTCCTGATCCTCCTCTTCGGGGAGGGCTGATAAGGCCTGGTCTGCACCCACATCCAGGTCCATGCCTTCTGCCTTCACGCCATGCAGAGACTCCTGTTCAGTGCAGGTAGTCCTGCAAGGGTGATGCTGGCTTACGCCTTCGTGCACCATCTCTAAGGGCTCTGATACGACTGGCAGCTGTTTTACCTCCACCTGAGAGGTCTCCCTTGAGACCTCTCTGAGCTGCTGGTCTTTTACCAGGACCTCCTCAGGACCTGGAAGCTAATTTCAGTGACCGGGTTTGTAGTGGCTGCTGAGGAGGAGGACCTTCTTGCAGAACCCCGGCTACGCAATCCACACCATAGAGTGCAAGTGGCACTCCTGTGGTATGTCAGAGGTTGTTCCTGGCTGGTGCCACCAGAATCAGAGAGCTTCTGTATTATGATTGGAGGATCTGGGTGGAGCCTGTGGAATGTGGCCTGCACATAGGTTTGTCCACCCAACACGTCCCCAGTCCTGAGCATCCTGTTTCTCTCACTTTCCTCAAGTGGGTCCTATGGGTGGAGCCTCCCCACACACTGCTCATCCTTGGACCTCATCATCGGCCCCTACCCATGAGCCTTCGCAGCCACCCCCAGCTGACAACCTAAGTCAGCCATATCTGGGTGTTTTATTATGGGCACTGTAAAATGCACTCCCAGACACCAGGGCAATCCCCCTGCCAAATATCATGCATGGAGGTGCTAAACGTGACAGATATAGGGAATTCCTGCAATATCCTGGACAAACCTTATTAAATTAAGTTTAAGTATCTTAGGAGTTAATTGTATTTAAAATGCAAATGTTTATGTATTATTGTGGGATTGTATGTACCATCTCTAGGGGGAGATATGCCTGACATAAACTCTGGGAAGTGTTATGAGCTTCAAAGTACTATTTGAAACAATGGTCTGGAGAAGAATGGACTTCTAAAGTTAAATGGGTTTCCCAGGAAATCTCTGGAGGGAAGTGTATGCAAATATACCCCCTCCAGTTATGCAAGAACTCAGCCTTCTGAAGCTTCACTGAAGGAAAGGACATTTGTCTGCTGCTCATGTATTACACAACAACAAGATCAAAGGCCCAAACTGTGTAAATGAGTGACTGACAGATTCATGGGTGTGCTTGCTCTGAACCATGGCAGTTATGAACTTGTAACCACAGAAAACCCCCTCAGTGGGACTTGAAGGACTGACTCTTATCAGACCCCTCATTAGAGTTGGAGAGATCTCTGGTAAGCTTAATAGTATATGGGTATGTTCTTTTTTTGTTTGTCTGTTTGTTTTAATATGTTTTCTCTGTAATACTGTTACCTTAAGAATAAATGTGCTTGCTTAGAAAAAGCTGTGTGGCACCTTATAAGCTGTGAGTAATTATGCTGTTTATAGCCCTTGAGAAGAAGGCAAATTTGTCCTCCTTAGGCAGTTTAACTTGCTCGGGAATTCACAGAGTAGGCAGGGAACTGTGGAGCCTGGAAAAACCCTGGTCAGGAGGGAGAGACTTGCAATCTGTGCCCAAGAGAGGTGATGGCTAAGTAGCTGGGAGCTTAGGGTGGGTGCTTTTGCTAGACCATAGTTATAGAGGTGTAGTTGCCCTGAACTGTGACACAAGAGCTTATCAATAAAATAGCTGTAAAATGTTTTTAACATGGGCAAAACAACATATTTTCCCCTAACCTCATTCTGAGAAATGGCTGAACCACTGTTGCTTAAATTAAAAAATCAATGAATCAGCATGAGGCAGACACCTGTCATGGAAAATTTCAACCCAAATGGCTAAAGTTTGACAATGTTATAAGTAACTAAAAACCTATAATATAATGGAAAAGGATGGGCAACCTTATCTATAGGTATCTTGACCTGCACCACCTATAATTTAGAATTGTGCAGTGTCTCTCTCCAGAAACCATCAGAAACAAAAGGTATGATTTCTTTACTGTATTTTAAAGTTATTGTGGACAGCTAATTAACCTGCTAATTTGTCTCTTGTTAGTTCATTTCTCCTCAGGATTCCACAATACCCACTTAGAGAATCCCAGTGTACAATAAGAAAAGGAATACTTGT